GGGGAGAAAGAGAGAGACAGACAGACGGAGAGAGGAAGATATCAAATCAGCTATATAATGTACGAACCTAAGTCTATTTGAAAGGAAATAAAAAATCTCTTGTCAGATAATGAAAATTAAATCTTCTGGAATATCCACCTCCAAACACAACATAAACCTTCCTCAAACTTTCAGCAATTTGGCTTTGTCTACAAATCAATATTTCACAATTTATCTCGATTTGCCGTGCTGATTTTATCTTCTGCTTTCAGAGAGTGAGCTGAAGGCACGTTATTGGATTTCGCTTGACACAAGATATGGATGATGCTGTCGTCGAATACACTAAACAGAGGCGCGTAGTAAAATGATCTTTTGCACGCAAAGAACACCTGGAATCCCCCCCCCCCCACACACACACACAATCCTTTGCTCTTTTTCTTTATTTTTAACACACCATTCATTGCTCCCTCGTTTGTTCGCATTCTTTTTCTGTGTCAGTTTATCAAAGCACGGAGTAGATTTTTTCCTATTTCGAAGATGGAGCTCTTGGTCGACAGCTCTTTTTTTTAGAAAGAAAGAAGAAGAAAACGGAAAGGATATGAGGCAGAAACGATACGTCGTAGTAAAAATCAAATTATGTGCTTTTCTGTCCTTGGGAATAATTCTACTTTCAGATAATAATATGACTGCATCCTTCTGGTGATAATAAAATAATTCCGAAGCGCGCAAAGACTACTTTCGGTCGAAGATATTTGCTGTATAAAAGCAACCAATTACATTTATCATTTATGATTATCTGTTTATCTATTTTGCGATCTCCAGCTCTGGTGTGTGTATGTGGGTGCATGTGTGTGTGTGTGTGTGTTTGCTTTTGTGTGTGCATATGTGTATGTGTGTGTGTGTGTGTGTGTGTGTGTGTGTGTGTGTGTGTGTGTGTGTGTGTGTGTGTGTGAGTGTGTGTGTGGAACTGTTGTCTCGCAGGGCATGTATCCTTGGGAAGGGGGAAAGGGGATGGGAGGTGGCGAAAAAGAGGTATTCTTATGTTTTTATGTATCTTTCATCATATGTAAGTGGGTATGTTCCCGCATAATTCTGCTGCAAAGCACACTGAGCACTCTTCCAGGGAAAATACTCCGCATAAATGCTATATCCATTACGATTCTCTTTGAGGTAAGGGGCGAACACTGTTGCTCTACTATGTTGTTAGATTCTGGTCAGCATCGTTCCAGACTGTCCTCCAAATTCCTATCACTCCCCTCCTTTCTCAAAACAGGTCCCTGTCCCTCTGAACAACTACCCTTTAGCCCGCGAGGAACTCATTTGATTCTTTTACTGGTTTGGCTTTCTTGGGAAAAGGGGACAAACGCTACAATGAATCCGTGAACGGTCTCTTAAAGTTGAGGTGCACTGGTGAGGGTTCCCAGGTTTTAATTTGGCCCAGGATTTTAGGATTTCGTTCTGGGAAATGACGCTCACGTCTGCAGGATTAAGGCTCTCTGTGACGTAAGACGACCATTTGCCTTCTGATCAGCCAAGCTTTAGAATAAGGGAGGGTACTGTTTTGTTTCTGTCTCTCTGTCTGTTTCTTGTCAGTGTTTATCCTTTTTTGTTAGAAGGGCCAAAGGACAGAGAAACAGAAAACTACGGGAGGATTGAACAAGGGGAGAATAAGAGGGGATGGACACGGAAGAACGGCTGTAAGAGAGGGGAAAAGAGAAGCAGAGAGAGAGATAAAGACAAAAATAGAGAGAGTGATAGAGAGAGAGAGGGGAAAGGAGGGAGAGAAGGGGTGAAATGAGGTTAAAAGTTAGCACCAGACATAGCGAAAGAGAGAGAGAGAGAGAGAGAGAGAGAGAGAGAGAGAGAGAGAGAGAGAGAGAGAGAGAGAGAGAGAGAGAGAGAGAGAGAGAGAGAGATAGGGGGGGGGGAGAGAAAGAGAGAGACAGACAGACGGAGAGAGGAAGATATCAAATCAGCTATATAATGTACGAACCTAAGTCTATTTGAAAGGAAATAAAAAATCTCTTGTCAGATAATGAAAATTAAATCTTCTGGAATATCCACCTCCAAACACAACATAAACCTTCCTCAAACTTTCAGCAATTTGGCTTTGTCTACAAATCAATATTTCACAATTTATCTCGATTTGCCGTGCTGATTTTATCTTCGAGTTTCTAAGGACAGCACTTATAAGCTCTAATATTTGTGTTTGCAAAAGAGAAGAGCCTGTATTTTCTGAATATGGCTATTCATTGTCTGTCGTGATTCAAACACTTTAAAAAAACACACCAAAGAAACCCCCCCCCCCCCCAGGCCGCCGCCAGCAAAAACAAAATGATGAAATAATATCATAAGTATGTATCTCTATTCAGCAGCGGAGTACCTTGCAGTATCTCCAAACAATGCTGGAAAAGAATGACGTCCTTGGGCTATAGCCGGTATTCCCTGTCACATCAAATATTTTACCTGGAAGTAGCAGAAAGGGTAAGTAAGACCCATGTGCTTTTTACTGTCTGTGCGTCTACTTGTTTGTGTAGTTACATTTTTTTTCTAAATCTTTGTACTTTCCCCTCCTATTTCATTTTCTTTTATTAGATCTCCCTCATAACCCCCCCCTCTCTCTCTCTCTCTCTCTCTCTCTCTCTTTGTCTTTCACTCACTCACTCACTCACTCACTCACTCACTCACTCACTCACTCACTCACTCACTCACTCACTCAGACGCTCACTCACTCAGGCAGTCTCTCTCTCTCTCTC